CGCCTTCACAGCCGCCTTCTGCTACTTCGCCGTCACCGTTGGCGACCCTCGCTCCTGGCCAAACGTCCTCTGCCGCTTCGCCGTCACCGTCGGCGACCCCCGATCCAGACCAGCCGCCGTCGCCGCCGGACCCCGCGATGCCCCCGCTTACGGCTAACGCCATGCGGCAGCTTCGCCCGGGTACAAAGGAAGAGTGTATGACAGACCCGCGGCTGCCAAGCCGCACGAGATCGGGCACAAGGCACAGCACAGGACTTATCTCGATGCTAGACAAGAACACTCTGGTGTCGATGCTGGAGGCTCGGAGCGCGGTGGATGAGGAGCGCAGGGAGCCAGGGGGAGCGGGGGCCGGAGAGCAGGGGGGACCACTCGCAGCGGCGGACCCGGGGGCTGGAGGAGCGGGCTTTCCACTCGCATTTGCCACGATCCTCGCCAACCGGGAAGACATCGACGCCACGCTGCGAGACCGCCACGCTGCGAGACCAGCGCCCGCCGGAGCAACGCCCTGGCCTTCCGCTCTGCCAGGCCAGCGACGTTTGTATTCCGAAGAGCTACAAAGAGGCCGTAGCCTCGGAGCACCGGCACCTGTGGAGCGACTCTATGCAAAGGGAGTTTTATGGCTTGTTGGAAGCGGGGACTTTTGCTCCGGCGAAGTAGCAATTGGTGGAGAACGCAATTAACGCTAAGTGGGTACTCGATTGGAAGGCAGATGAGTTTGGATGGCCCACTAAGGTAAAGTCGAGACTTATAGCGAGAGGTGATATGTAGAGAGAGTACATTGACTTTGGAGAGTTGTACGCACCTACCGTTTCTGTTTCGTGTGTTAGGATGTTGGCTGCTTTGGCGTGCGAGTTGAACCTCGACTTGTGTCATTTCGATATTGAGCAAGCTATTGTGCGTTCGGAGTTGGAGGAAGACGTGTACATGCGTTTGCCGCAGGGATGTGGAGCTCTATCTGGAATGATTGTAAAACTAGGCCAGAGTCTGTATGGCTTGAGACAGGCATCAAGGCAGTGGCATGCAATGCTGAAGAGAAGTTTGGTGGCGTTAGGTTTTGAGCAGTGCATGGCCGATGCTTGTGTGTTTCGTTTGATTGAGGATGGATGTGTTGTTGTGATTTTGGTAGTACATGCAGTAGATGACATTTTATCTGTGGGAGAGAGGGATTTTTGCTGTGGGAGTGAGGGAGTGATGTGACNCTGTATGGCTTGAGACAGGCATCAAGGCAGTGGCATGCAATGCTGAAGAGGTGTTTGGTGGCGTTAGGACTTGAGCAGTGCATGGCCGATGCTTGTGTGTTTCGTTTGATTGAGGATGGATGTGTTGTTTTGATTTTGGTAGTACATGTAGATGACATTTTTGCTGTGGGAGAGAGGGAGTGATGTGACAAGTTTGGCGCCGACCATAACAAGTCCGTGCCAGTGAAGAACCTGGGAGAGCTGCGATGGTATTCTGGATGCTTTTACGAGAGGAACAAGGAGACCGGTAGGTTGATGATTTCTCAGCAGACTTTCACGGATGAGCTAGTAGCAGAGTATGGAGTAGTGGGAGGTGAGAGCGTTCCGATGTCTTCGGGGGTGAAACTTTCAAATTTTGATGCGGATGAGGTGGCGACAGACTTTCCGTTTCGTGAACTAGTCGGATCTTTGATGCGGTTGGCGACTCAGACTAGGCCAGATATTGCGAATGCAAAGGGCAGTAGCTAGATATTGCGCACCTCCGAAGCTGGTACACTGGAATGCAGCGATGGATATTTTAGGGTATGCGAGGAGGACGAGTCACTTCGGTATTTCGTTTCAGAGAGGTACAGTAGAGGGTTTCAGTTTGCAGGGGTACGCTGATGCGGACTTCGCACGCAAGGCAGCAGACCGTGGGTCGGTATCAGGGGGGATCGTCACGTGTGAAGGAGGTGCCGTGTCTTGGTTTTCCAGAACGCAGAAGTGTGTTACGCTTTCGACGACAGAAGCAGAGTACGTCGCGCTTGGTCACGTAGTGAAGGAGATCTTGTTTTTGGGCAAATTTGGCGTTTACATGTTGCCGCAGGTCGGCATGCCGTGCATCCCAGTCTTCGAGGACAACCAGGGGGCGATTCAACTAGCGCAGAACCCCATCTCAAACTCGAACTCGAAGGACATAGATGTAAGGCACCATTTTCTCTGGGAACTGGTAGAGAGAGGAAGGAAATTTCGGTGATCCACGTGCCGTCGCCATACCAGCGTGCAGATTTTCTTTCGAAGAGCTTGCCGAAGGACACTTTCGAGTCTCACCGTGATTTTGTGATGAATTTGGCGTGAGCATTTATTGTTGTTCTGATGGGTTGTGTGTTGGTTTTGCTTTCATTTTCCGCGCGAAGTATTCATTACGCGCGATGCGCATTCATTCATGTTTCTTTGAACGACTTTTCTTTCTTATACCTTGGGATAGTCTTGATGGCATACTTCTATTCTTGAAAATACGTCTTGTGGTTGAGATATCGGGTGTTAGCGAAGTTAGCAGTGAGAAACTGTTGCGAGCAGGGGGGATGATAGATATTCTCGCAGCAGTATCTGGTCGTGAGGATCCCAAGGGGACACGTGTTGGGAATTTCGTGTGTTGTAGGGTACCACTGGTGCAGTCACTGGGACCCTTTTGGCGCGGTTGGAACGATCAAAGACTATGACATATAATAACCATAGGCAGATCACTAGGGGGGGGGGATGGCAGGGG